TGCAAAGAATAGGAAAAGCAATTGTGTTCTTTGAAAGAAATGGATGGTACTCTGTAAAGGGCCTTGAGCACAGGGCACAGGGTCGCCGAATTCAGCAACTTGTTGTCGGTCGATGCCACAAGGCCTGTCAGATCTGTGAAGAACTGACAACAGGGACAATGCCTCACTGTTACCTGAAGTCAATGCATGCACCTGCAGTGCACACACAACAGAGAGAGAGAGAGAGAGAGAGAGAGAGAGAGAGAGAGAGAGAGAGAGAGAGAGAGGTCTCAGCCTCGATCTTAAATAAAGTCTGCCGTAGTACCTTTTCGTTTTGTTCTTTTTTTCTTTTTTAAGTAAGCCAAGGTCGTTCCAACGTCCCTGATCAGGGACTGCTGGAAAGCGTCCACAGAAATGTCTCGTCTGTTCATCTCTTTTTGTCTTTTTCCATTTTCCCCAGTTACAATGACTGGTACAGTCATGTTAGTAAATAGATCATGAGTTCGGATCCTCGCGGAATCAGATGAGCACTTTACAGTTAAGGGGTACCCTCCCTTTTTTTCTGTTTTCATTTTGAAAAGGACGAATGGTAGTTAGGCTGGCAGTTGGGTACCGCCGTGTTGACAGGCTCTGTCAGGGTTTATGATGTAGAGGTTTCGTCAGCAGACTCAGCACACATAATACAGCATCTGGCATGCCAAGAGCACAAGCACTGCTTTCTAAGTTCATATATTTGCGCTTTTACTTTTTGGGAGAATTCGGCTGGAAATGATTGTCAGATACGTCGCGAAAAGTCCCAGTGTGAGTATGCCATCAGTAAAAGCTGAACTTGTGTTGTTTGCTTTACGTCGTTTGCTGGTGTTTGTGCACGTCGAACAGCATGTGTCATGGAGAAGAACAGTGTCATAAACTTCTTGCTGTTGCGTGCTTGGCTTTCTTCTTTTTGTTGTGTCAGGCTTTGTCATAAGCACCTTTCTTTTGGGGGGGGGAATTGCATCTGAACGTCATCGAAAGCTGGCAATACTTGCTATACCCCAGTCCCACTGCCCAACTTGCATCGATACACCAGAAAACGGGTCTGGCGGCCCTTACATATAACCCGCAGCCATACAGGGCTGGGAAAAGCACTCCCGACCAATCCCATCCCCGACTGCAGCCAAGAAATCAGGCAACGTTGCTCAAACCCTAGCTGCCACTAACTAGTCATTTGAAAGCAGATACAGTTCAGAAAAGATTTGAATCTAGCACTACTAAACTTAGTATCTCCTAATTACTCATTAATCCTAATACGCTAATAATTGCAATTCCCTAATTAATGCAGTATCTGTTATACCCAACTATCGGAATGCTCAAATTGTGCACATATTCGGGCAAATTATGTGCATACCTAGGCTACCAGCCGGGCCGCCCGGGTCCCGGGTGGCCAGCCCGTGCAAGGACCAGGGAAGGTCCCAGCAAAAAAACAAATAAAAACAAATCCTAAAAATCCGAAAAAAAACTATGTTATGCAGAAAAATAAACTGAACAACTCTCTTTTTTTTTCCTTTTTTTTTTCCACAAGATGCACGTTTATTGCGAACTGAACAACTTTTGCGGCCTCTGGGTGACATCGAAATTCTTCACCAAATTTAAAATAAAAAAATAAAATTTAAAATATATTATATATTTTTATTTTTTTAAATCTTTTTGGCCTGGCCGGGCAAGTGACCCCGGGCCACTCTGGTAGCCTAGGTGCATACCACATTTTGCCGCCCCGGTTTCGTGGCATGAGCATCATTTTGTGCTCCCCAAACAAGGGCCTGTGGGACCACATACACGTATAATTTGGCGCACGGGAAAAGTGGGGCATTACCTTAAACCACCAGTACATTCACACTGAGGTAAGATCGTAGGGATAGAGGTTGCACTGGGAGAATTAACGTGGGGAAGGGTAGGCAAGTGTGGCCTGTCCTGTCAGGACAACTATTGGCTGCCGCTGCCAGCCATCACCGTGGGTCTGGTCCTTGGGCCTCAACAACACCCTGGGCTTTCTGGAGGGAGGGGTAAGGGAAAAAAAAAAAAAAAGAGCCACCAGTGCATTTCCCAGCCATTTTTTCAAAGTCGTGGCGTGCAAGCAGCCGCAACTTTTGGGGCTCGCCCTCCCAAGCAAAATGGCTGGCAGCACCAGCCAAAAAATGGCACACACCGGTTCGTTCTTTTTTTTTGTCGTGCAGCCTCGTAAGTGCTGGTGATTTAAGCTGGACAGGGGTCATAGATGCAAGTTGGCGGCTGGCCCTGGATATAGTGGGGATTCCCATTCCTATGTAGCATCGTGTTCGGTTTCGGTGACCGAACCCGAACGTTCACGACTGAACGCGAACGAGCACCAACCCCCCCCGAACGCGAAAAAAAAACTAAAAAATTCTCAGAAAATGATGTTAAAAAATCTGAAAAAAATATGTGTTATATAAAATAATAAAACAAACAACTCTTGCCTTGGGGGTATGCTCAAATTCGTAACCAAACTCGAGTTAAAAAAAAA